GCTCAAAATTATTAATCCTCGCTATTCTTTGCGAGGCACTAGTAATATATCGGGCCATTCAAAATTTTGAATAAGCCTTATTCGCCAAGGTCGATAATCAATTTTCTCGTTAATTCGTTATTATTGACGTGCTACAGTCAATTGGTCAAATTATTCGGCATAATCGTTTCACTATTAATGGAGGCCAATAATAGAGGAGTGAGGATGTTCGTTTTTCGAAGCTCCGACCTCGCTGCAACGACATATATCGTTACGGCAATAGCGAACGAATTTACGTCACATGACGTACCCGCGATTCCCAAACGAGGGGGTGGTAAAGGAAATAATCGCGCGGGTTTGCAATTACGCAATGTGCCCTCCACGCTTATTGCTTTTGCATTTTCTGGAAGAGCACGCGCAAATCGCACTCGTGACGCCGTTCGGTACGTGGAAAACCCACGCAGAATTCGAAAAAATCATCGGGCTAAAGGAGCGCGTGTGAAAACTTTTTAATTGAATTGTGAATCGGAGGTGAGTTTGGAGCGCTGTGCAGCACTGTGAGATAATTAAACTTGGACACCTTCAAATACGAAATTATTTTATCGTAATGTTCATTATAATGTTACGTTTACCCCAGTGACTTCAACTATGTGACAGTGTGAATTAATAATTCCTGACTATTCCGCTATTCACATTGAGTTTCACTGTGCATTCACACCGTTAATTATGGAAATTTTCATGTTAAATATTATAGATTTTAATGTATATAACTCACTCACGGTTGTCGTCTAAGGTCATAACTATCGATATATTGTATTTTGCAAATTTGACATTTACATATCGATCAAAAATATAAATTATTGTATGCTTGACTGATTTTATGCATTAAAATAGCATTTTCTATTTATAGTATTTTTTTTTTATTTCATTAATAGAAAATTATTTTGAAAATGCACTAGCACATGAATTAAAATGATATTATGACTAAAATTCCCTACTGGAGCGTATAATAAATAAAATTATGATCAATTTAATCGGTATATAATAAGTTGTTTATTATTTTTTTTTTTTATGTGTCATTTATTTGACATTTTTCCAAACTTTCACACAAAATGAATTTTTACAAAAGAAGTAAAATCACGTTGTACTCACAAGATCAACAAACAATTATAAATGTTTTTATTTCAGAAAATTTTTCTGTTTTCAATGTATTTTCAATATTTTTGTTCAAAATTATTATATTTGTAATTAAGAATAAATTTTTTTTCAATACATTGACTTTATAACAAGAAATTAAATTATGTTGTCTTCCCTATATACAATATATTATCTTTTAAACTAAGGTCTTTCATTTGTATACATACATGCACACGCGCCCACACATGCACGAACGCACGGACTCGCGCACTCGCGCACGCGCGAACGCCGGGACACAAACACGCGCGCGCGCACGTACACACTAAGAGATACATTCATTTACTTATTGCATTAAAATCGAAATAAGCATGTAGAATAATCATACATTTTTTTCAATTTTATTAAACAAATTTTTAACGTATACATAAAATATTACTTATGTATTAACAATATAAAGAATTTTTATATAAAATATTTCATATAAAATTAACGTTTAGCGAGAACTTGATCAAATTTATGTTAATTATTTTAATGTGACATAATGATTGACAATCTAAATTCAAATACTTTGGTCTCTTCGATTTCATAAAAAACAACATTTTTTTCTAACGTACAATAATTATTAAAAAAGCGTATTTATTATTTCATAAAAATATGTTCACACACATGAGCATATGTATAAATAACATTAGTCCCATATTTTTCCTGTACTTTTAAAACGATTTAGCTTAGGAAATAATAATAAAACTTTTGAATAATTGCATCAAAGCATTAAAAAAAATTGCTTTTTATCGATTTTTTTTTTTTTTTTTTTTTTTTTTTTACAAACGTAAATAAAATAATATACGAAGGCAAGCTACTCGAAATTAAAGTGAAAAGATCTTGATAAAAAATTTAATTTCTGAACTGTGTATTTCGTGCCTTTGCCAGAATATTCAGCAAACCATCATAGAAGGATCGTCCAACAGCTTTTTCTGTTTTCTTAAGGCTTTCCGATAAGCTTGGCTACGTCCACGTCCAGCTATAAACATCAATTTTTTCCGTTTCAACGGCTTCTGACAAGATATAAGAATAGAAAAAAGATCTTAACTCTCTCTCTTTCCCAAAGAAACTAATAATAAGGATGCATGAATCTATAACGCCCATCTTCTATCCTTCGTTCAAAATGCATTTTCATATAATCATTTCGAAGCACGTACTTTCACCATCCATATAATCGATTAGCACAGCATTACATAATTTTTTATTTACAATTTATCTTTATCGTTTATAATATAATAATGTTTTATAAAAATTTTACTTCTTTTAGGATATTTTTTAAAAGATAGAAAATCATTAAAGTATATATTCTCGTCTTTGTGACGTGTTGGTTAAGAAAAATGTGATTTATTGTCAATTTATTCTTGAATGTCTGTTAAATATTCGTCAAAAAATGGAGGATAAAAACAAGAGAAAAAAAATTGACTTTAGTATATTTTATCCATGATAATTCGTAGTTAAAATGAGTTAGATGTTTCATCGCTAAATTAATACCCAAGCAATACTTTAAAATATTTTTGAATTAGAATAAATTTTCTCATTAACTAATTGTAGAAATAATCGTATTATATCATAACTACATAAAATTCAGTTCGATATTTCATCGTTTATGAAACAAGAATCGTAGAAAACAAATAACAGGATTTGCGTTACTTAGAATAAAACTACTGATCAATATTTCATTTTAATTCCAATATATGCTTTAATGGATAAAAATTTTACAAGTTAAATATAAAGGATTGACGAACGAGTAGTCTTTACGTTAGTTAAACAATAGTATATTGATTGAAATTTGAATCTTCCAGACATAAGAATTTTATAATTTAATATGCCTTTCGGAAAATCAATTGGGCATTTTAGTAAGCTGCCAATAAAATAAAATAAAAAAAAAAAAAAAAATCGTCCAAATGAATATCCAATAATTGGATAACTGCCTAAGGTTATATACACACGCGCGCGCACACACACACACGCACAAATCTCTCTCTCTCTCTCTCTCTCTCTCTCTGTGTGTGTGTGTGTGTGTTTGTGTGTGTTTGTTTGTTTGTTTGTGTGCTTGTGCAGAGATATAAAAGTGGATGATACTTTTTACTCCACATCTACTTTTAAATTCGATATAATTGATTAATGTAATATAACGAGTTTGTACTAAAGTAAATTTTTACATTTTAAATACTTTATGAATGTAAAGTTTCGTCGAATTTATGTAATAGAAATTGCACGATGCAATAAATTAATTAGAAATATGTCTTGAACTTAAAGTTTTCATAACAAAAAATATCGACATTTTTACGCAGGTCATCAATAAATATATGCATTCACGTGGGCAAATTTGCTAGATTCTCAACGTGCAGGCACACGCTTTTAAATAAATATAAGAAATTTTTACAAAATATAAGGGATAAAATGCTTAAAACGAACGACAACATTGTATTCTTCTCCTATTGATTGCTAACATCCCCTCCTAAACCTAATGTCACACTCTACTTCAGTTAAAAAAAAGCAGAGTCGTACATTAGGCGAAACTCTGTCCTTTCCATCCAGTAATCTCGTATCTTACAAGAGAAAGCAGCCCTTATCCCTAGAGACCGATCACGAAGGACCGACCTCGGCAGCATCGACACCCGGCCAGAGAAGTACTAGACCGACGTCGAGCGAAAAATAGTCTCCCGCCGAAAATTGATTGAACTCATTATCAGCTCCAAAAGTCATCACGGCGCATTCCCTCCGGCTCCCCTCCCTCCCATATACCCAACACTTATGGTAAATCATGCAGAATTTCATGGTCAAACTATATACGATAAACTATACGCGGCTCTTTAAGGCTATAAGTAATTCGCTTAACTAATAGGAGACTCGATATCAGCGCCGCTCCTTTTCATCCTGCGACTTCCTCCTACACTATTTGCTCGAGAGACGATCGTTGACTTTTGTTCTACAAACAAACCTCGAATTATAAAATATCGTGCGTACCGAACAAAGTCGACCCTACGCCCTTTTTCATGAGCTTCTTGATGCGCGTATATAAGCCCCCCCCCCCACTCCAATCCCACCACCAGAAAGATTATGTAGATGAGCCATTAGAGCGTCTTACGCCCTTCGAGTTAACGTAACGTAAAAACAGAGCAAATCCATTGAATTAGATTTATTTTCCCGTACACGTGATTTATACGGTAAAATTATCGATGGGTCTTTCTCTTTCTCTTTCTTTAATCGCGTCTCGAATAATAAAGAAAAAGCTCCGCCAATGAATGAAACGCCGTGTCGTCGAAGGTGCTCGTAGTCAGCTTCTCTTTCTTCGAGATGCTAAACAATAGCCTCCTTTTCCAATTCATTGCTCGGCGTATCGTGCAAAAAGAGGATAAATTCAAGAGATGAATTAACGTCTTCGGAATAAATTTATTGGCTTTTGAGACTTTGTACTCGGGATCGAGGAAGCACTTTTCTCTATCGCTAAGCTCATTGGAGATTATTTGACTAATTGAGCCTTCGTAATGAGTCATCGTGTTCCCCTACCTCGGAAACATCATCGATGGGCATCGACTGTCTTTGTCTTAAAGAACTTTTAGAGAGCTTATGAACTTATATTTGACCCCCTCGTCCTAAGTCCTAAGCGAGCAACATTTATAATTTCTTTAAGACTTTCGAGTCTTAAGAATCAAAGAAAGATATAAATAAATGGTAGATCGGCGAATAACGGCAAGATCTTAAAAGCCGACATCCTTGCCAAGTATAAAAAAAAAAAAGAAAAAAAAAAATTAAAGAAAAAAAAAAAAAACTCAGTACGCACACAGGCAAAGAAACGACTCGGCGGGCACACTTGGCGCTTTACCAACAAGACTTACCGTGAATGGTGATCTCGGTGTCCTTCTCGAGCTCGTAAAGCCTGAGAGCCTCGTCGAGCTCCTGCTGGGAGGCGATGCGACAGGGATCGCCTTCGTCGTCGACCCACTTCATGGTGAACTGATCGGGCGCGGGCCCCGCGGCCCCGAAGCCGCAGATCGTCCGCATTTCCTCGCGCAGCTTGTCCACGCTGATGCCCGCGGTGATGTACGTGATCTGGACCTCCCTGGAAACGTAAGCACGTGTTCGCTGCCATCTTATTTCCTTTTTTTCTTCTCATTGTTCTCAGTCGGTTGGGCTGGGCGGGGCGGGGCGTCGCGACAAGGCCAAAGCAGTGGATGTTGAAGGGATGGCGGTGAGGGTCGGTGAGGGTCGGTGAGGGTAGGTGAGGGTAGGTGAGGGTAGGTGAGCGTATTGGAGGGGCGGTGAGGTGTGAGGATGGGGAGTAAGTAAGGGTGAGTTACAGATGGGAGAGCGCGTATGTTACCAAGTGAGACGAGGCATAGAGTTCGCAACGGCTCACGATGCGCTCGTAGCATGTTATCCAAGTGAAACAATTTATCGCGATGCAAGAGAAATTAAATAACTTTCTTGGATATCTTAATTATTAGAAAAAAAAAAAAAAAAAACGTATTGTTCAATACAAGGCGACACTCGAGCAAAAAGAACTTGCCATTCGAATTCGACAATGCATTATTATCATTGTTAAATTTAGACTTTACAATACTTATTAAGTTTCCACTTACTTATATTAACAAAGTTTTTTTTGCCATTTGATGCCAAAGAGCATTTCTTAAAAATACAATAGAATATATATATATAATCTTAAGTTAATTTGATAATTAATTCCTATGAAATTTGCAACGTTTTTAATCATATAGTTAGTTATATCTATGTATTTAATTGAAATTTTCAATTATGAATATTATCGAAAGTTTTAAGCCACGGTGTTGGAAATAATTGGAAAAACTATTGAAATTTAAGTGTAAAATTACAGTGAAATCAAATTGGAAGGGTGCGCGCTGACCAACTTGAATCAAGACTTTGGATTGTCGTGCGAATCCGTAAAAATAATTGATTTTTGCATTAGTATTAATGATAGCGGGACCTATAACAATCTGCGTCAAATAAATACACTTTCTCCTCAAACTTTTCTCATGCCTTCGGCGCTCAAATTAAACGGAAAATCCAATGAATAGGCAAAGTCATTATTCCGCTCGCGCCCTCGATTCTTCTTATACAAATTGCACAAAATTTAATGTAAAATTTCCGCGATACTTTTATTTTCATAAAAATCACTATCGATCGTCCACTTCATCATACTGCTTTTAATGATTTTATCGTTTACCAAACTTTTAAAGATAAAAATTTAATCAAACTTATTATGCTAAATTGAGGGGCATTAAATATTTCATGTATTAGTTGCTGCACTCTTATCCGATATAACAAATTGAATAATCACGTCAATATTTAAAATGTTTTTTTCAATATAATCATAAGCAGAGGAATGCTTTAATACTTGTGTTATTATTTATTACGAACTGTCACGATACAATCTCATTTTTTTATTAAATATCTCTCGCATTAAAACAATGAGCACCCAAGTACAATAAACGTGAAAAAGAAATTCGAAGCCTTAAATAACGTCCAAGTGAGTATATTTATTATTACTATTCACTCTATACATTACCCCTACGATAATTCTAGTAAAATAATTATTAGGTTCTAGTAAAATAATAATTGTTAAATTATAATATGAGAATAAGCCTAGGAATAAATGTTTCATAAAACTAATCTTTATATAACAATATGTACATCAACGATTAGTGCATCTGAACTATTTATGAGATCGTTATAATTGCAAAAATAACGTAATAATTAAAATGCCCAAGAAAAATTAAGAATGCAGCATAATTTCCCTACGTTTTCATTCTATAAGAAGTTGTTCTATAAGAACATTATACAATTTTTTTTTATTTTTATTTTTATTTTTTCTAACTATTCCTTTCGTAAATTACGAGTATCGCGATTATCGCGAGATGAATTAAGTATTATTATTCACAGACACCGTTGTAATGACTATGCAACAATCAAAACAATCATCGTTGTTCATTACGATTTGCTCAGTTGTTCAGCCTTAGAGTAGCTCGGTACTACACTACATTGTCGAAGCATAATTTTCAATTATTACAGCACAATGTCAGATGTCAAATGTCAGATGTGACATTTTGCATAATATTTTTATAATAAATACGTATGATTGTGCAGTCCGGCTAATAGTTGAATACAATAAAATTTACAATTCTATTAACAAAACATAAAATAAGGTCCGTGCGTTGTTGTATAATCATAAAAGCCAATGTGAAATAGTATCGATAAATAGTATAAATTGTTTGTATAAAATATAAATAAAATATAAGAAGGGCAAAAGGCAAATATTCAAAGCGAAACTTGTTAAATGCAGAGACCAATAAAATGTAAAATAAGACTGTCATTTCCATGTTTATTTGACATACATTGTAAACATTAATTTATTTAATCAGAATGTGGGTCATGATTTGATGGATAAATTGTTCGCAAACGCGATCGATATTATAGTTTGCACTTCGAAAGCCACCGCCAGCATTTACTTTACGTAGCCCCACCTTGGCAAACGACAACAGACAATCCTCGAGGTAATTAAAAAGTCAACCATCGATAGAACCATTGGTTGTCGAGCGAGGAATGATGGTATAGGAGGAGCGGGTGAGACGAGTGGAGGCGAATTCCCGAGCAACCATGGAAATGTCCAAAATGTTAACCGAGTCGTGGGCCAATGAAAGAGCGAGCCGAGCGACAAAGCAAAGTATCGAGGCGTTAAGTCTCCCGCGGCTCGACCACGGTAATGAACAAGGATTTTCAAGGCTCGCACCTACACACAGACAGTCAATAATAAATAATGCTCGGCTACTCACCCATTGTAGACGATCTTCACTCGAATATCCTCAGTATCCGTCGTTTGCGTGGGCATCCTCGCACGCTGAGGCCGTGCTCCCTTGCCTGTGACAATTAAACACACATGAAAGGATGGAAGATGAGAGGTCGGAAAGTGAGCTAGGTGAGTGTAAAGGACGATCGACACCGAGTCGCTCTAGTAGCGTAACGCAACAGCTCGTCCGTTTATTATTAGTTTTACGCCCGGATCTCTTTTGCTTCTTTGGCGTTAATTAACGAAGCCGTGTCAATTGCCCGATGAATTTTACGCTCTCGTCCATCGTAGAGGGTCATTAAGGATAGCAGCACAGGGTCACGCGTTAATCCTGCGACTCGTCTGTTTACTTATCGAATCGCGAAATTGATTGTCATGTGGTTAGCGATCTGCACAAAACTCGTGCTCTTTTATTTAAGCAGTGCTCGCATCTAGGTGCTTTTTCTCTTCATACGTCAGTCGAGAAGTACTAGTGTCCTCCGTCCCCCAATAACCCACCTCCTCATCATCCTTGGCTTTGACCTGGTCCAATTATTGAAAAGGTATTGCGGTGAGACGAAAGGCATTTACAAAGCCAAGCGAGCGTAGCCTAGATATCGATAAGAACGTCTATCTCTCGGGCAGGAGAGAGAGAGAGAGAGAGAGAGAGAGAGAGAGAGAGAGAGAGAGAGAGAGAGAAAGAGAGAGTAAGAGTGAGAGTGTGTGTGTGAGAGTGAGAGAGAGAGAGAGAGAGAGGAGAGCGTGCTTACGATACTTGCACATTTTTCCCCAAAACTAATTATTCGTAACGGAATCTACGTGCTCACCCCTCGGTTTTAAACCCCCCCCCCCCCACACTCTTCACTGCAGATTTGTGGAAAACCTGTTACTCGCTATGCGCTGAGCCAACTGTTCTATACTAGAGCGAGGTCAGATCAAATCGTAGACAACTACTACACGTCGCTTTCAGTGGAAGCGTGGTAATAAAAAAGAAAAGAGAACAAAACGCTCGTTTGGAAACAGTTCCCTTTCCAATGAAGTGCGATATCGCTAATTCACTTACACTTTTGTAAATACGAATTTTAAATTGCAATGTTTATATAGACGTAGTTTTATGTGCTCACCTTATTGAAAATATAATTCGTTCTCTAAGTAGCAAATGCTAATAGGTAGTAATTTTATAAGAACTATTATATCAATAAGGAAATTATGAAATGTTGTTTCTCTCAATTCTAGAGACCAGACTACGAAATATTTCAATAAAAATCCTTAAAATATTGAAGTGGATAATTAATTAATAGTATTTTATAGTCTATATCTATAATCGTAGTTGCGTGATCTTTATACTATCGGTTATTTTATTAATCCATGTTTTTCCGTTAAACTATTATCGCCATTAATTCATGCACACTCAGAAAGAGAGAGAGAGAGAGAGAGAGAGAGAGAGAGAGAGAGAGAGAGAGAGAGAGTGGTCTAATATTAATAAAACATAATATAATAAATGAAATAAATATCAACGATTTTTTTGACAATCAAATTTTCGAGTAAACAACTTAATTAAAAAATATTTTGTTATACAAGTATTTTATTATTAAAATCATCTCGTTTATACTTGTATTTTAAATCTCAAATAAATATGCTACATATTAGCGAGTAGAATTAGTAATTTTGTAGATTTAAGGAATTTAAATTTATCTTCGGCATTCGCTAACTTTAATAATTATTTAATAACAAGTTCTTAAAAGCTTTAAGATTATACACTTATTGGATAAAATCTCACAAAAATAAATGCATCGATAAGACTAATTTGAAGTATTTCAATATCTTTGAATAACAATGAAAAGGCTATTTAACTTAATTTAATGGATAATTATTTTTCAACCATAAGTAAGAGAAATAAGAGAATTAAATGGCACGAACAATCGATGAATGATAATTTGAAATTGCATCGAGCCATATCGTTTCATTTTTAAAGCTGAAATCTAATTTTAAGGAATGTCTTTTTCATAAATAAGACAACTGCACTGACAAATCTGCTAAATCAACCAATCAACTAATCGTCATTTAATCTTCGATCCAATTTTATAATATCGGTACATTTATTGTCAATTTTACTAACGTTTAATATAGTAGTAACATTAATATGGAAAAATAATAGAGTAAGTAAACATTTTTTTTTTCCTATAGCCAGTATACATTTCTTTGTAAGTGGAAAAATATGAACTTGTATGATATTTTGTTTAAATTAGTCGAGTATAAAATATTTCATATGACGGTAAACGTTGTGGACCAAAGTACAAGATATTTTTTACAAAAAACTAATCGAGTTTTAATTTTTTTATATATACAATAGACATTAGAATTCTTAACGAGAATTCGATTGATTCGATTAATCAAGAAAAGTGAAACGCGTGGCGTTAAATTTTTCATGTTTCTTGTTTGTTTTTGTTTATTTGTTTATATGTAAATGTAAAATATAGACTCATTAATTATAATTGTTAACGATACATTTCAAATTTACCTTTAAATCCAACAATAGTATATATTGTTTGCAAAACTTTGCACTACATTGCAAAAACCTTTTCACTTATATTCTTTTATAAATGCTTGATGCAAAATTTCATTTTATCTTCAACTTTTCATGCATAATAATGTCAATTATTTTATTAAATCTAATCTGCTCGTGTGCGTACATTGACTTACATATTTGTATCGATGCCCTACTCAACTTTCCATAGAATAATAACATTTACAAAAGCCCGTTCAACGATAATATCTATGCTAATATCGAAATTTCAGTAAACAAAATTAAAAATTATTCCAATTAAATGTCTAGATGAAAGGTTAATTTTAACTCATAACTGACAATCGAATGTGTATAATAGTTGAAATTAATCGACGAATCAATAAATATCATTACAGTTGCTATCGCGAAGATCTTATTTTTCCAAGTCTCAAATTAATGAGATTCGGCGCTCGTCGAATTATCTATGAATAAATGAAAGATGAGAGATGCTCCGCTGTCTTATGAAATTGCTAAGCATAAAATCTACAAGACTATATATAATTTAATTATATTTCTAACGTCTTACTACTACCACAGCGTCGGCGTCCTCGAAAATCTTAACAAAATACCTCCCCTACGAGCACATAAATGACAATTAACCATACACTAAATTTACACGTGACCTACTTTTCATTTCATACATTAGACTTCGCATCTTAGAAGATCTTTTAACCATTCTTTGCTCATATTGTAACGCGAGAGCGAGAGCGAGCACGTTGCAATTGAAATATTCACGTTTTTAACATTTGGACAAAGTACGGCTAAAATAATCTAAGAATGCAAGCTAATACAATCAGACGCGTAGCACTCCGCACTTACTGGGAATGGATAATTTTTCACGATCGTGCAGCAAAAGTTTTTTTTACCTGCATCTCTCATCCTCAACAAAGAAATCAATTGCTAATATTTCGTATAAGAATTTCGATATCCGTAGAGAATTTATAAGAATGTTGCGTGAAATTTATAGATACTCGGGCTCCGACGATGCTGCAATTTTTGCAGAACGTGACTCCTCTCCAGTGACGGTAATTTTTCACAATTCCCAAGCTTTGGCGTACCGATTTGATATTTTATCCGTCAACGATTAAAAACATCGTACAAATAATAAATCGAGCCTGCCTCCCTTTTTACTTGGAAACAAAGATAAGGAACAATCCGTTACAACTAACGTTACCTTTATTTTCTAATAAAGCATAGCTCCAATCTCGTTTGCGCCATAATTTTGTTCGCTTCATTCGCTTAAATAAAGTACGAAGTTGCCAGAATGTACTATCCCATCCCCATCCCAAATAACTAACTCCATGCAACTACTTAATTAACCATTGGATAAGTCTTAAAGTAGCCAATGGTATCTCATCCCGAGTTCGCTTCTTCAAGATATAAGCAATTCCATTTAAGTATCTTGTATGCAAAGGTTTTTTGTTGATCGACGAAGAAACGATGAAGAAACGTAAGATGAGCTTGAATATTATATTGATGGGACAATTACATGGCAATCGAGTCAATAAATTTTACTAAATACGCTGGGAATGCTAAGTGCCACCGAGCACATTTAAGCACTAATGATCGAGTGAAAAAAAAAAAAAAAAAAAAAAAAAAAAAAAAAAGGAAAAGGAAAAATTGGGGTAAAAAAACAACATTTTCAATAAGCTCTCGTTACCCGAGGTACGGGGCTATCAGTCGTACCTCTTGCACGTCCAAATCCCGAAAATATCGTTTCTGTCCTTAAGTCTAATTATATTGAATTAAATGACGGGAAAAGGTCTGTGTGTGTCAAGAATCGCGTGGAGCGTGCTCTCGTTCAAAGTACTCACGATTTTAAGGAATTATCGCGCGAAAGGTTAGCACATGATATCCAGCACGCACTATCGAGACTCTTATCGAGTCGATGAATACCAATGGATTTAGCATGTGAACGTTATAAAAATCGTTGCAAAGGTCGTCGTGATTAGTATATTTTGCCGAGCAAAGAGTGGAATGACGGTTGGGGGGAGGTGGGTGGGTGGGTGTTAATGGAAGTAGAGATGGAGGTGGGGATGATGGAGATAGAGGTGGAGGTGAGTCCCCTGATAAATGGGACGGCGGATAGACGGCATTCACAGCCTCACCCTTAAAAACTCGTCGCAGGGTCATCTCCAGGAGGAAGTTGGAGTTGAGGAAGAAGAGCTCGCTCTTGCGCGTCTTGCTCAATAGCAGAACGTAGTGGATCGTCGTCGCAGCCGTCGTAGCCGTCGTAGCCGTCGTAGCCGTCGTAGCCGTCACAGCCGCCGTAGCCGCCGTAGCCGCCGTAGCTGTCGTCGCCGTCATCGCGGGCGGGGTCCCAGTTCGCGAGTTCGCGCATGCGTGCCCGGGCCCTAGGATACGCTCGCGCACTCGCTCGCGTACGAGCTATTTGGCGTTGTCGAGTCACCAAGTGCAATATCGATCTCGCGTTTTTCCGCTATGCGTTTCACTTTCCCGAGACGCGAGCACGATTCAATCGCAATTTCGCGCTCCCCGTACGTTTAATGCTCCTCCTGCCCCTCTTGCTCGCACTCTCGACAAAGTCCCCCGTTCGATGCGCAATTCAATGCACCACCAACGAGGAAATTACGTAAGGATCGAATTGCATTCGGCTATTACGTATATTAATTTGTCATTGAAATAAATAAATGTAATTTGATAATATCACAATGCGATCTATAATGGATTATGTAATTTGTTGGGCGAGCGCAGCATCGATAAATATATTCACTCCGGGAGACATAACGACGCTTATCTCTTATCCGCCTACTTTCTAATAAAAGTTCACAAGTCCGGAATCGTAACGCTCGATTAACTCGATTAACGATAAAATTAACTCGGAGCCTCCCGGAATCAAGCGGCAAATTAAATGGTTTTTCTTTTTATCATTTCTTTTCAAGCTCCGCGGTCATCACTTTCCTCTCGTGCGATCTAATGAGACAGTTAAGGGCGACGGCCGAGACTCGACTCGATTGAAACGTCGAGGTAGAAATGCACTATCGGCAAAGCGGCCGCCATAAATTCCGAATCACGAAATTCAGCGACACCGCAAAAAATTCGCCACCGTCATCCAATCGCCAGTTAGATATCCTCCCACCCGATCTCCTTATGAATATTTTATTGGCAGAGCAGTTGGGATCGCGATCGGATCCTTTGGAATATTCATCGGCATGGAATAATCGTTGTTCTCGCGGCTGCCTTCTAAGGTCACCCTTAAAGGCTATCACCAGTCACGAGTGCACCACCACCACGACCACCACCACCACAGCCACCACGTTCACCACGTCCGACCACTACCGCCTCCACCACTGCAACTAGTGACACCGGCACGGCGCAGAATCACACGCAGGCGCTGGAAGAAGGCAGCCTCCGGTAACCACGTGCTTCCTAAGATGATTATTACCGGTAAAATTCGGAGTGCAGTGCGCGCGGCGACGGGAAACAATGCGACGACTGTCGTTGAATAATGAAAAACGCCGAGCGAACCTCTCGTCGGTACTCCCCGAGACTGTGAATCGAATCGAACTGGACCTAGCGGAGTCCCCTGTGTCCTCGCACGTTTTCTCACTATAACGCTCTCTCTCTCTCTCTCTCTCTCTCTCTCACACACACACACACACACACACACGCACGCACACACACGCACGCACACACACACAGAGAGAGAGAGAGAGAGAGAGTCACACTCACTCACTCACTCACTCACTCACTCACTAACTCACTCACTCACTCACTCTCTCTCTTTCTCTCGCTCACTCGAATACGCATATATTCCCTCTCTCGCTCCACTATCGTTGAAACATTCAATTGTCCCCTCTTTAATGTCAATTAACCTCGTTTGCGCTCGGTGCAGCAGCGCCGCGTCTTCTATTTATTTTTCCTCCTCTTGTCCTGCCCGCGCCGCACCGTCCTCATACGTCCCGAAAGACATGCATGGTCCGTCAAGAAATAGTGCATCGTACACGCGTCGCCCTATAACTGTTTCCCGACGTACAGTCGTGCGTGAACAAGCCATCGCAGTCGCGAGAGCAAGATAGAGTGAGTGAGTGAATGAGTGAGTAAGTGAGTGAGTGCGAGAGAGAGAGAGAGAGAGAGAGAGAAGAGACAGAGATAGAGAGAGAGAGAGAGAGAAGAGAGACAAAGATAGATAGATAGATAGATAGAGAGAGAGAGAGAGAGAGAGAGAGAGAGAGAGAGAAAGCAGGCGCAGTCACACCACGTACACTACGCACAGACGATACACAGAGGTACGCAATCGAGAGCGAGGGACGTAGGTACGCGCGCTCCTAGTGCCTGACTCACCGTGCTGTTCGTAAAACAATGACATAAAAGCGCTTTGGGCCTGTCCAAAGGGCGAGGGCCCCCGGGGTCTGTTAGTCCTCAACGGGCGCCCTCTCCTCTTCCAGCTCCAGCTCCAGCTCCAGCTCCAGCTCCAGCTCCAGCTCCAGCTCCAGCTCCAGCTCCAGCTCCAGCTCCAGCTCCAGCTCCAGCTCCAGCTCCAGCTCCAGTTCCAGCTCCAGTTCCAGCTTCACCTCCAGTTGCAGATCCCCTTACTTCGTCGCCAGCTCTTCCACCACCGCCTCTTGTTCCACCTTTTTCTGCTCTACCTGGACCTCGGAGACAACGACAACGACAATTACAACGACAACGGCTACGGCTACGGCTACGGCTACGGCTACGGCTACGGCAACGGCAACGGTAACGGCAACAGCAACGACAGCAGCAGCGGCAACGGTGGCGGCAACGGCAACGGCAACGGCGGCTGCGACGGCGACGACAAAAACAGCACCGTCTTCGCCTGGCCAACGAACCGCTAATGAGCCGAGGACGCGCGATCACCGGAGCCGATTGCAGGAACGGACACCTTGCACAGCCTCGACCGGGGTTCGCCTAAATCTTGGTAACCGGTCCTATAAGGCACTTGCACCAAGAGTCCAAGACTCCAATCACCCCCGGACTGTTGGACTCGAAAACGGCTGACCAAGAGCTGGGACCTCGCGGTCGATGCTTGACGAAGGCTTAGTTGGGATGCGAGACGCGTCGTCGTCAGCGATGGCCCGTCGTCGCCATGCTCGATGCTTTCCGGGACTGACACGCGCGGCGCGCGCTCTCCTCCCTCTCTCTCTCTCTCTCTCTCTCTCTCTCTCTCTCTCTCTCTCTCTCTGTCTCTTCTCTTTCTCCCCCAACCTTCCTCCTTCCATCCTTCTGCCGCACACGCACGTACGCACGCACGTATACCCTGGCCTGCCTCACTCTCTCTCTCTCTCTCTCTCTCTCTCTCTCTCGCTCTCTCTCTCCCAAACAGAGCGTCCGCTCTGTTATCCGCGCACGCCTGTATGCGTGCCCCTGTGTGTGCGCATGTGTGTGAGTCAGTGCGGCCTGCCTCGGCAAGGCAGTGCTGCCGAGATTCTCGGCTGCCAGTGCGGTGCATCGCCGGTGCGGTTCGAGCGTTTCTTCTGTCGATGCTAATCCACTCCACGATCTGAGGAGATCCAAGCCGACATTCGCGACATTTATCCCGACAAGGAGGACGATTAACTGGCCGTGCACGTACTTTGGATTCCTTACTCGCGCAACTCGTCGATCGTAGCAGTGCGCTGCGCATGCTAAGCCGCTCGATTACCGTGTTCACGATATTATTTCAGTGCAAAAAAGAATCATCTGGAACAATCGTCGCATTGTTTTTCGTTTTTCGTTTCATTGTTAATCGTTTGATTCGTTGTTATGTTGTTACTACTTCTCCACCGTCTACCGCATTCTCCTGAAATCGTGAAATGAGAAAGACCGGCACAAGACCGGACAATTAATTGCTCTTCCCTAACCTCTCCCTATTTCTCAAATCAATTAAATATGTTACAATTAACGTATTGTGCTGATTAATTGATTAATTAATTTGTCGATTCATTCGTTTATTATTCGAATCACAGGCCTGTTGTCCTAAGTTCTTATATTGGCCGGCAGAGGCGCTTAGGGTCATCGCTAACTCCACGCTTTACCTGCCAAGATCTTTGCCACTTCCACGCCAATTGTAGTAAACAAACGCTTATTTTTTAATCGGATTTATGCGATTGCTCGCAAAATTTACGCTTACGCTAGATGTCGAGTCGTTCACCAACCAAACAAAAAAAAGGCATAATTAATAAAGTATTTATTGTCTGGCTGACTGTAATTGATTGTGTTGGGCGGCGGGGCGGGGGGAATAGGCGCCACATTTTCCAAGCTATGAATTTATCTTTGTGCATTTCCAAAATCCAAAACATTTCTTAATCGATCAACGATCATTTAAAAGCGGTTATAAATATTTCATTAAAAAACAAGCGTACGAGTCAGTCAATCATTTTCAATTTTCAATTTATACTTAAAATTTAAGCGATGAAAATAAGTTTTAAGATTTTAAGTATTTAATTTGAGAAAGTGATAGTGGTATCAATTCTATTGATACCTTTATGAGCATTTATTATGATAGTGCGTGAATAAGAATTGTTCAAACTATTTTGGTTATTAAAACCGAGAGAAGAAAGGAAGGAAGCCTTGGGGGTGATAGTTTGTCTTTGGTAAAAGTAATTTATAATCTAATCTACATTTTTATTCCATTAATTTGCAATTAACTATCAAATACACAAAGTAGCATCCAATTTGCTATTAAAGATATTAACAATGCTAGACGTTATCGTTGAACAGAGAACTATAAAACTATATATAATTTAAAGAAATTCAAAGGTTTTATCGTAGAAGTTCTGAACAATAGTGAATTTAATTATAACGCGAATAAAATTAAATTTCTCTTTTAATATAAACTTCGCTATACAATATTAAGAAATGAAATACGTTAAATACCAACCTGAGAAAACTTGGCATAAAGAAAATCAATTTAAAATTTATAATAGGATATTAAAAAAGTTAACTATTGAATGGTATTTTCATGACTCTAACGCTAAGAAAGAGATAATACGAGTACAAGTTTTCAACAATTTTCATAATATTTGTATCAAAAGTAATTACATCTTATTATATAAAATTTTAAATATACATACATATATATGTATATATATATATATTTACATATACCTATTAAAGTTGAATTAATTATATTATTTATGTAGAAGAATGAAGAAAGTGATATATTAATTTTAATAATGGTATGATTTCATTGAGAATTTCTGATAAAATTTGATTATTTCAGCCCATCTTGTGCAACTGCAGTGCATGGAAATAAGTTTGAAATACATTTTGTTTCTTACAAAATGAGGACCTATTTTAAATTCCTTGAATACATGATTCATTAACATAAACTACCGATGCTTTTGAAAAAAAACGTTGAATCTTCTGTCCAGTCATTTAAAATTTTACTCATTAAAAATATGTAATTTAGCATTATGTTTAACTTTTTATTATCTATAAGATCAAATTTCATTGTTCGATCAATTCATTAATTCTATGAGAAATTATGGTATTCTCATAAATCAAAAATTTTTTAGATACAAATACATTCAGTAATAGATATAAATTAATTGTAAATAATCATATGTATAAATAAATATAATCGATACCTATCCATAACTGTAAAATATCTCTATGCTATGTAATTATACGAAACAGTATAGGTTGATCATTGCCATCGATAATCGTATTTTATCGATATCCAGATGGCGTCACCGCTCGATATTCCGTCTCATTTAGATAACTTTTAATGGGACTTTAAATATCGAACAGTTTATCAAAAACTCTTTTATAAGAATTACAAAACAAAACTTATCCGTACGGTAATTGCATGTACGTATGTATAATGAATAAAATGTATAAAACATCAAATAGTTAATTACATTGAGCTCATGGCATCATATTTAGTTGTATAATATTGAATAACAAGTGAACTATCCACATTATAACATTTTTCATTGCTTTCGAATACCTTTAATATTTATGTACGCGCGCTCAAGAATATGTTACGTGTACATGAAAATATTCTCAATACAGTAAGTTACACTAATTTTTAATGAAAATTGTCAATTTCGTTTATCATTATTATATGAATACCCGAAATATATATAAATCGCTACAGCGTCTACCTTTAGAATTATGCAATTTTATATTTTCAAATGGTACGCAAATTATACATTAGCTTATGTAGAAATAATACGATTCAAAACTAAATAAATAACACGCAGTTTTAATATAATTATACGTGCTTAAATACTACGTTAAGCTTAATTTATATTATGAATAAATTACAAAATAGTTGAACTTACAATTAACAAAAAATATTTCATTATCCACGATATAAAATTTATTGCTTTCGTTTTACACTTCAAATCATAATTAATTTATTAAACATAATTTTGTAAAAAAAAAAAAAAAAAAAAAAAAAAAATAGAAGCATATATAGATATTGAAATTTAATAGTATTTTATATTTTGAAAGTTCAAATACTTTTATTATAAATTAGTTTAAATATCTGATAATGTAATGTAACTTACATTTCTTTGTATTAAAGATGATTTCCCATAGGAATTATTAAACACATTTTTATTTCAATTTTGGTATTTGAAATGTTTTAATTCTTGTACACTTAATTTATATTCATAAGTTTTTTTTTTTTTTTTTGTTTTGTAACCTCTCAAAATCATTTGAAAAACAAAATATTCAAAAAATTCATTTTAATATGAAAAATTATATTTTTATTAACTATACCATGAAAATTAAAATTATTTGGTAAAATATTAATATTATCAAGTTATACATTGTATTTCTTGCGAAAAATAATTATTTCATACATTCAGTTATTGTACTTGGAACAAAAAAAAAAAAAATAACGCAATATTTGTAAATTTATAGTAATTTGTAAATATATATATATATATATATATATATATATATGTGATAAATATATAAAAAATCATAAGTAAATTCTTAAATGCTTAAAGTAATTAAATTAAAGACAATTAAATAAATTTCTTATGAATACATGTTGATGGAAAAAGATTTTGGAAAAATTTCAATTAGTACGAGTGAAGATGAATAATACTTATAAATAAAATCACTGGAACTGTATTAAAATATATTTGAATTGTTTTATAGATTTTTCTTCTCTAACATATTTCTATTACATAAGCATAAATTATAAACTATTTAATAAAGTATTTCATTCCTTATCAATAATATTTTTTTGATTGCATTATTAATATAAATTTATAACTAGCACGTACAAAGAAATAATGAGTATAACTAGGCAGTTTATCATACGAGTCTAATTAAAATTAATTTGACGTTTTTTGCATATTTATTTCAATATCAGCAAGATCTATAATAATATATAAGAATAATTGTTTTTTTATTAAATATTGTAGGTAAGTAAAAGAAATTAATGATCCGATGTTTTCACTAATAAAAATATAACCATTAGGTTGTTTGGTTTTCACTTTCATTACAAAAAATAAATAAATAAAAATCCTTTTGTAAATTCAATCAAGTATCTTCAGTGGTCATAAAAAGTCAAAAAATCTGAAAAATGAATTTATTAAAATTTTCATTCATCTCCAATATGTTTAAGCTCATTTGTGTAGACAAAACATAGATATTAATTTGGATGAAGATAAAGTAATGAAAACAAATG